GTTGAGGTTTATGCTATGCTAAAAAATCATTTTGGTGAAATGATGAAGACAATTTATTTCACCGAGCAGCATTTTCCTGAGATGCTTTACTTAAAAATCATGTTAACTACTGTCTTCAATAACTTTAAAAAGATGTTCAGAATGGAAAAGAGTTAACTTTAAATATCTATTCCACAGAAAATGACACAGAATACAAATAACAGATTTTACTTTGAAATGTAAATATAAACTAGAATAATCTTGATTACAGGGAGACAAAATCATATGCCTCCATAGAAGAAAATACTGTGGTTAAAAATAGCCAAATTGCCTTTCCCTCGCACTTTCCTAAAGATATGAAATATCTTTTTTGAGTATTTAGATTCCAAGTAAAGCATTTCACTTTTTTTTCTTGAGATGGAAACAAACCACACTTAATAATGTCATCACAACTTATGCCAAGCACTGTTGCTCAGTTACAATTTTGCAATTCTTTTTGGATAATTGCTTCCTCTTAAGGGAGTATACTTCTTTCCAAACCATAGAATGAAATATATCATTTTAATATATGTATCTTTTTCCAAGAATACAACCTCGACATTAAACAAAGGGTCATTTCCTATCAGCCAGTCACAGATAAATTTTATTTCACACCGTGGATTTCAGTGTGGTTCTTTTTAGGGAGAAGTTTGCTTTCAATAGTTGCTACTTATGTTGAGTAAATTATACGCTTTTCTCCTACAAAACTAATGAGAAATAAGCTTCTCCTCAGGATTGAAAAAACTGAATGGACAATGCTAGAGACAAGTTTTCATAACACAGAAATCTATAGCTATACTGTATTTTCGTAGAATCCATTTGGTAGATAATTTTATGGTTTGCTTATTTCTTTATCTAAGTGTCTATTTAAATAAATCAAATTAATGAGACCTCTAGCCAAGGAAATCATCCTGTTCCTCCTCTTACTTCTGCCAACACATTGTATTTTCAAAAATTCCCTGTCATCTGACTCACTGCTAGAGAAACTTATTCTTTTCCAACACCTTACAGTTTCCCTTTTGTAACAATAATTACTTTTGTAATTTCTTGTTCAGTGTCTGTCTTCCCCACTGAACTGAAAATCCATGAGCACAGTAACTGTGTCTGTTTTGTTCATCATTGTGTAGCCTGTGTCTGTGTCGGTGCCTAGCATATAATAGTTGCTCAATAAATATTAATTGAATGAACTAATAGATTCTTAACCTTAGACTCATATTTCTGAGCTTTAATCCACTCAACTTGGTAAAACGTAGCAGTCTGAATTCCCAGTAGCTTCTAACCCCCAGTAAACATTGTCTCCAAGCACACAGAATAATCGAATGTTTCTGATTGGTGTTGGGTAGACTCTGTTCGCATACATTGTATAGCCACGCTGATGGTATATCTCCCTCACATATCAAGGGGCGGGTGGCAATGTGGATTACTCCTGACCTTTTCTTACCAGAACCATCCAGTGCAAATAATTATTCAACCCATTCTCTCAAAGGAATATTTACTACCACGTAGGCTGGACACTGTTACAAAAAATCATCACAAAGTTGATGGCGTCAAACAATAGATCACAGCTCTAGAGACCAAGAGCATGCTCCGTCCAAAGGCTCTAAGAGCGGCTCCCTCCTTTTCTCTCCTTGCTTCTGGTGTGTTCATTCTTAGGCTTCTGGGTTGCACAACTCCAGTCTCTGCCTTTGTCTTTACATATGTCTTTACATGGCCTTCTCCCCTTTGTCTTTTCACTTCTGTGTCTTTTAAGGACACCTGTCAATGGATTTGGGACCACCCCTAAATCCAGGATAATCAAGGTTCTTAATTACACCTGCAAATTCCTTTTTTTGAGGGGAAGGGGAAAGGCTGTCACCATTCACCCCACTATAGATACAATAGTGAATATAGTCCCTGCCCTAGGAAATTTGAAATCAAATGGGAAAGACATATTATAAAAAGTAATTTCAATAAATTGTGATAGTTTTATTGGTGGAAATAGTTTAAGAGTCTTGGGGAACATCTGTCTGGAGACCTATCCAAATCTAAACAACCAGAAAACAACAACAACCAAAGCTTTCCAAATGATGAGCTATTCATGGAGGAGTGATTAGGAATTGACCAGATATTAAGAGTTTGGCTCACTCAAGGAATTGGAAGAAATTCAGTATGCTTAGAGAATGTTAAGATGTGCCTGAAGACATATGCTAGGGCCATTTTGACACAGCCTTCATAACTAAGTTAAGGGCCCTGTAGTTTATCCTGAAAGGAAGTCAGAGCTCTGTGATGGACCAACACTATTAGGGTAAAAGGCAACAATTATCCCTTTCAGGACCAAGGTCCTGAGTGTTTTGATTTCATATGGCAAATCCTGTGCTTTCCACTATTTGATTGCTGTCTGCATGGATAACACAATGTCATAGTACAATTGCTCTGAAAGATTGTGACAAGAATATTTATTTCAACATTCTCATTTTATAGACATGAAGCCAAGTTCAAGCAAGGCTATGATTGTTCTAGGGTAACAAACCCAGCTAGACCTAGTTAGTGCTTCTGTTAATAAAAATGGTGGTTTAAAGTACTGGCAAAAGCTTGGAGATGGGCAAATTGAAGTTGGATTGCCAGCTTTTCTTTATACAAGATAGGTAACCTTGAGAAAGTAATGTAACTGCTCAAACTAGGAATGATAATAGTACTTACCTAACAAGACCATGGTGAAGATAAATTTAATAATGAATTGAAGCTCTAAGCATGGTTTCCTATTAAATAATGACTGTTATTCTTGATGAAGATCATAATGTTGATGAGGTTTCTATAATCATCCCAGCCTCACAATCTATAGCATTTTACTCCCAGTACAATAGTGTTTTATTAAATACTCTTAGTTTCTAATAAAAGTATTTAACATATTTTATTCTCCACACAGGAGTGTTTAGGGGTTCTAAGTTTAAGAAACAATTATTCAGGAATATGCATTTTTCAAAGTGTCATAACTTAAGATTGTTATCCAATTAAAATTTTAATTACAACAAAGTTTATAAATGTAATAACACTGTGCAAAAGGAGACATATTCGTAGAATTAGCAGTTTAATCAGTAACGATGTATGTCGATCAACACCTTGTTTTATAACAAAGTAATCTGATTTTCAAAAGGCACCCAATTACAAAATCTCCCTCTGATTTTTGGACTCAATAAATGACAGCTACCTAACGACTGTGAAACGATATGCCCCTGATTCAAAATTCTTGAACTAGTCTATCTATTTTACAGATACAACAGTTGTTAAGTAAATAATTTTTTTTTTTTTTTTAGTAAACGCCTCCTGCTTTATCTTTAAAAAGATAATGTTTTCTAGAACATCTGTTTGTTACATTTTTGTTAGTCAAAGACTTTCAGTGAGAAAATGTGACATTTTAGAGCATGGCATTCATTCCCATGATATTAGTGCTATTTTGAAGATTAGGAAATTCAGTGAAAAACTAATAAAAGACCTTCGGTACATTATTTATTGGATAAGATGCAGCTATTTAACTTGTCTCTGCACAGAGTATGAGCAAAAACTTAACAGTGTAGCAGATTGCTTGAAAATGTCTTGATTAAATCATAGTGACTAAAATCTAAGATTTAATAAATTTATCTTATTAAAACTGAATATAAATGCCTTTTGTTTTTATGTATATTTAGATTTCTTAAAAAGTCTCTAAAATGCTGTAAGTGGTTTCTTTACTGACTTGAAGATAGTGTTTAAGGCTTAGACAATCTGTAGCAGACACATTAGTTTTATGAGAATGTTATTACTCTGGGTATGAATTTGCACATAGTATACTGCGTACTTAATTCCCAGAAGAAGATCTACTTCTGTGGAAGCTGTAAAGTACTCAAGTTTAATAAATTGTTATGGTAGAGACTTCTGCAGTTTGCTTCTCAGTTGTATACTTTATTTGATTCAATTTTCTTCAATAACTGATGAGATTAATAGATATTATTTGTTTTCAGTAGTCGAAATAAGAAACAAGTTTAAGGAATATTAAGAGACTGATTGATTGGTTTTTTACAATATTGATGATTAACTGAATTATTACTACAAGTTATAGTTTTAAAAAAAAGAAAAAGAAAAAAAGAAACAAATGAGACAAAATCCTGAAAGACTGACTTCTGGTTATAGTTCTATGTGAGCTTGGGCGGTTTCTTCAATTTTTCTGTGTTTCTGTTTTCTTATCTCTATTATTAAGCAATTGCCTATTTTACCCATTAAAATTATATTTGATTAAAGCATTATCAATACAAAAAATTAGAAGTGCTAATAAATCAATTGAAATGATATCTGTTAAAACATTCCTGGAAGATTAGTAAAATGTGCAGCTCATGTGATTTTAAGAGAGAGTTTTATCCATGAAAGAAAAAACATGTTGTTACCATATGTAATCCGGCCTTTTCTTCAAAAAAGAAAGCTTTTAAATATCATTTTTCTATTTATTGCCAATTAAACATCTAAGCACCTACTGTGTATATCCTCGTGCTGTCTACAGTTTTAGTGTTTGAATTAAGCTCTATGAAATATAAAGAACATCATTCTTATATAGGAATTATATAGTAGTCTTTCTACTCTGTAAAAACAGGTATCAAAACAGTCTATAAAGCCTGGTCTAGTGGCCAAAGTGTTTAGGAAGAAATACAGTGAGCGGTTACATAACAGAATTCTTTAGTCCGTCTGCTGATTTAGTTTTACAGCACATACTTAATCTTAAATAAGGGACACTAGGAATTTATCTACTTTATTGACCTTTTTTTGAAGAAAGAGGAGAGGTTTATGTGGTGGGTTATGGCCCCAACTCTTCAGTCCTTCTGGGTTTGCTTCATATATGTTAAATACTGAAATAAAGGCCAAATATACTGGGCTTGGCGTTTGTTATTGTATTTTTTAGTATGAACTAAATTGTAAAATGATTCCGATAGTGAAATGTCACCCAGGGAAATTGTAATATTGTGTCTCTGTTTCAGCTTCTGACATGGCCGCAGAACAAGGACAGATTCTCGTGATAGCCACCGCGGCTGTTGGCGGCTTCACTCTCCTCGTCATCCTCACTTTATTCTTCTTGATCACTGGGAGGTAACCGAAGCATACCAGATTATTTCCAGCATGTGGGAATAACCACTCTTTTCATACCCTGCGTGTTCAATGCTCTTAGATATAGCAAAGCATATCCTGGAAAAATTCCCTCTGACGGTGAACCGTCATTAGTCATCTGTGTCAACAGGTTTCTGAATATGGAAAGATCCAAAGATGATAATAGGCATTTGAAAGCTGTGAATGATGAATTTATATTCAATAAGTGACTCTGGATTTTTTCTTTACTATAATCAAATTACACCATAAAAATAACTTTCTTGGAAAAACTAATTTAATGGAATGCCAGAACAATTCATATAAAGACTATTTATAAACCTAGTGTTATAGAAATATATTTTTATCAATTAAATATTGAAATTATCTATGTTAGAATTATATTAATTGGTTTTATAAAGCTAATATTTCTATACTTCAGGGTAATATGAATAAAAATATAAAGTCACAGTAAATTTAACATAGCAAAATACCTAAATTTGGATGCTTTACCCATCGGAAACTTAGCTTTCTATTTTTACACAGGTTTGATCTAAAAGTATATTAAAATCATTTAATGTCTTTAAAATATATAGTATGATTACCATAGGCCAGATGCTGATAACATAGAGATGTGAATGAAGATAATATGTGCAAAATTATATGAAAGAATAAATGTTACTTTTTTTTTAACCCATGGAATTTGGCCAAGACTTTTGTCAGAAATCACAACATTTTATCCTCAGATCATTCTAACAAGAAGATAAAATATTCTATCTAGATATCAATAGGGACACAAAAGAAACCTCAACAGATTTTTTTAAATAATCTGAAATACACATCTACTGCAGCATTCTACTATCAAGATTTAAAACTGCAAAAAGAATGTCAGCCAAACGATACACACCCTTGTAGACTCCAGCTAAAGTACACCGACCCTGCCGGAAAACCAGCAGAAATAGATAATAATAATTATCTATTTAATAAATAAATAATAAATAATTAAACAATTTATTATTAAATAAATAATTTATAATTAATTTATTATTAAATAAATAATTAAATAATTTATCATTAAATAAATAATAAATAATAAATAAATAATAATTTATTACTTTCAGCTATATCACAGAAATAGCTGAAAGTAATAAATAGCTACCTTCAGTGAACCAAAAACACTGTTTGTTTTTAAAACTCCGCTTAGAGACCAATATTTTATTAAAATTTAATCTACTTTAAATGACAGAGTATATGCATACGTGAAATACGGTTTACAATTTTGACAGCACACCAAAAGGTATAGAACTTAACAGTTACTTTGCATGTATCAAGTGTGAGTCTCTGACAAAAATACAACAGCTATTCAATAAGAGTGTATTAGATTTAGCTGTAACAAACTTCCTTTGTTAAGTTTACCAAGGAAGAAAGCAACATGAGTGTTCGAATGTGGTTGAGTTAAAAACAATGACTTATTTGTGAAATTAAATGGAAGGAAGACACTTTACAACTATGTTTATTTAAAATTTTTATGTACATAAACAGATACAGTAATGGTCTTGGAACTAAGAGAGGGTATCTGGGGGCCTCTTTGTTTTGGGGGCGATTAGCTGATAGAATAATTCTAGCTATAGTAACAAGAAAAAAACAGACACGAAAGAATTCAGGAAATAATGATAAATTCGTCTTAATAAAAGTACTAATTTGGGTACAACATGTTGCCACCATCAGCCACTGTTGTCCAGCATTCTCCTAGGACTCTTTTCCTTTATTTTTAGGGCTGACCTCTGACAGCTGTTTGCCATAATCAGAGCTTTGATATAGCTCATCTTTTATAGTGGACAAAAAACAAATTTTGGGGTCTGTAAACCAATTAACCATTAAGTTGAAGATGAAATATTCAACGCTGCAGCTTACCAAACATGGCCTACAAAAATTTGCATCGCTAGCAGGAGTCAACTGGTTATAGCAAATAAACAAAATCCCTATACATCTTGGTGGAAGTCTTAAGTTTTCTGAAAAAGATTAAAATTATTCCCATATCATTTAGGACTCTTGCAAAGAGGTGAATTAAAAGACAGTATGTTTAGGGAAGGAGAAAGAAAGAAAGAAGAAAAATGGAAGAAAGAAAGAGAGAGAGATGGAGGGAGGGAAGGAAGGAAGGAAGTTTCAGTGAGGGGTAATAGTTCAAGTTTAAAGAAGAAAGGGAAAAAGGAAAATAAAATTATTTTGTTGTGTGTAAAGTCACAATGACAATTTGGTTAAAGAAAATCAAATTGCCAGTACTTTAGCGTTGCTACATGTTTAGCAAACTTTTTTAGGAAAACATTAAATAGAAGAATAAACCTTACTGTATATTCCTTACCCTCTATATCATTAATGATATCCATGCATTTTGAATTGGGGACACTGACATCTTTATAATATTCTTATTATCATGCAGTTGCATACAATTTAAAGACAATTTGCTTTGGAGCCCAGAAAGTTTTATTTGAGCATAATGTACTTATTTAAGTCCCATTGTACTTTAAGGAGATCTTAATTCCAAAGACACAAATTATATCATGTAGCTATACTGTGATAAATTAGGTATGATGATTGATTTTGATTCTGAAATAGTTTTGTTTTCCATTTTGAAAGTTTCTTTGAAAAAGGGAGTAATTTTTTCAATGTGATTTTATTTAACATCAGTACTATCCACAACAGAAAACAAAAATCCTCTGGAAGTTTATTTAAAATAAATTTAATAGTGATTCACTATGTTGCAAAATTGGATGCAGTTATATATATCTTGTAGAACATAAGTTAAGGCCTTGTTTTCTCATAGAGTATTTCAATAAACAATGATTTAAATAGCGCATACACAGGTGGAAAAGCATTTCATTAAGACATCAGAAAATATTTCATTAACCCATAGATATGACAAACACAAAAGAAAACATTTCAATCTTTGCGGGCTAAATTAAGTAAGACGTAATAAACTTGAGGGATGGTCTCAAATGTTATCTTTATTTGGGATTCCTGGAGCAGACCAGAAATACCACTTAAAAGGAGAATTTAACGATTAAAAAAATGTGTTCTAAATTATTTACAGCTTTCAGTTTCTATGTTTGCCAATTTATGTTATCAGAAATTGCTTTCACATTCCATGCACTGAAGAGAACAATTTCAATTACATAAAATAGAAAAAAAATATATTTTGAAGTATCACTTAAACACTTTGGTAGAGGAGCATTCATTGGAAAATATCCTATGAAAACTGTAAGATATTTCTGAATAAATACTCATTTTGCCATAGAATTTGAGGCAAAATTCTCATTGAAAGATTGAATTATGTAACACAGATATACTTTGTTTAGCCGTTAGAAATTTGATAAACCATCAAATCATATGGATGTTGAAGAATTGACTCATATTGAAGAACTCATGGGAGCGTGGTTATCCAGAGAGAGAATAGAACGTGCCTCAAATTCCAAATATTAAAAATTAAAACTGTTGAACCATGCTGCTGTTTAGCAGTGAAAACGGAAGGCATTTGTATACATTTCTGAAATTCTGATTGGAAACATTTTTTTTTTAATTTTGACTTTTATTTCTTTCTTTCTTTCTTTCTTTGCCAACTCTAGCTATCAGTAGTCATATAAAGGATGGGTAGGGGCAGATTATTAAATATTTTCTAAGACTCCTTTCTTTGCATCCATCTACTTGACAGTACTTTATTCAAGGGCTAATTTCAATATACATAAGAAACCTTCTACAGAATATTTTGACATTATAAAGATATTTTTAAAGTGGTCTTTATGACAAGAACTTTGTTCATAGATTATGTGTATTTTAATTGGTTTTTGTTTGTATCCAGCATACTTCCTAAAACAAGTTTCTTTTTATCTTTTTAAAAGATGTCAATGGTACATAAAAGCCAAGATGAAGTCAGAAGAGAAGAGAAGAAACCACTTACAGAATGGGCATTGTAAGTAGCACAGTGACTTTCCTCTATTATGTTTACTGTTCCAGCACTTCAGGAGTTTATTCAAACTGTATCTATTGAGTTGAGAAAAAAAAAAAAAAAAAAAAAACACACACACTTCCAGTCTTTCAGCATTAACGTTTTCATCTGGTTTCCAGGTTTGTCGGTGAAAGTTGCACCTGCTTCTCATTAAATAACATTACCTTGTGTCTAATTCTGCTTGCTGGAAAACAGACTGAATTTTCTAAAAATAATAGTTGATTGACTTTTTCAAGTTATTTACCACTCACAATGGCTTCAGAACATGAGCTGGTTTTATCTAGCGGAGCATTAGTCATAGAAATAAATATTAAGGAATCTTTATTTCTTCTTGTACAGACTTTGAAATATATAACAAATCAATTTACAATTCATTAACACTAAAAAAGAATATCAGCTCTTTAACTCTAGAATATGTATGAAATCCTTGAGCTGACTACAAGGTTATATTCATTTGAGAGATCTTTTCCCAAGCAACCTATAATTACCACTATAGTTGGTTTGATAATTGACAACTTCTCCTCCTCAACACCCACCTCCACCTCCAGTTCCAAATTGCAAACTACTTTATCAAGACAGTTTTTCTATTGTGAGACACTGAATTAACAAGAAAGGGATGTTCTGTAATTAACCACAGTATAGAGATAATGTGAGAGGCAACTTAACTATTTCCATTTCTCTTTTCTTTCGAATTGAGCAAAAGATAATAAGGGACATTTCAATCTATACCAGCCTCCAGGAGAGGGGAAGGATTTAAGCGAGGAACGTTTACACAGTAAGTCGGAGTCTCACTGCACTGGCACAGCTGAGAGAACTGATGTCTGGCAAAGGATAACCTGGAAAGGCTGTAAACAGATTGCAGAAACCTGGATCCAGACACCTGGGCTGATGCCTTATGCTGGGCAACCTTAAGATTCACTGCAGGACATTTAGTACTGATATGCAGAGGGAAAAGGCGCTCCTGAGGCATTTATTATCTGTTTTCCAAGAAGCAGGTTAGCATAAACCAAACCAGATGGGCCTCAGCATGAAGGCAATGAAAATAACTCGAGCCAGCCAAGGAGGTAGAAGAAACTTAACAAACTGATGTTTAAGAAGACTGTGATAAGTTAAATTAGTACCCAGGTGTACAAAGTTCAGATTGTTTGGTTGGTTTTTTTTTTTCCTCTTCACATATCATGTTTGTAAGAAAAAAAATGTGATATTTACTGATCTTACTCTTTAGAAATGTGTACCACCTTAAGTAATTGAATAGTTTAATTGTGAGAACCACGTGTGAGTTAATAAACGATGCTTGTTATCTGTGGCTAACATAACATGATCAACGTGACCACATCTGATTGGATACCACTATTTATTAGTAGTAGTGGTTACTAGGTTTGAGGTTATAGAACTCAGTCTGAAATCATAAATTCTACTAAGTTATAAAAATATCCCATGGACTATAAAAGAGGTACAACTATGTTCTCCTTTTCCCCAGTGTAAACTTTGAGAAGTCAAGAAAAGCTGTGGCATGTGAAAATTAGTGTCAGGTCTAGATGTACCTGGAAATATGCTTTTCTCGTGCTATTTTGAGAAATACTAATTTTCTCATGGTGCATATGCAGCACTAAGAAGACAGAAGACAAAGTGTAAATACAGGCAATGGGCATAGAAGGACTAATGAGGCAAATTGCTGCTAATAGTGGGCATTTCAGCACTTCCTCTAAACTTTATTACCTTCTGTTTGTTTTCTTTTGATGGTTTTTTGTTTTGCAAGGGCATGTTTCTAAAGAGATTCAAACAACAGTCAACGCTGCGTATTATATGGTTTTCAAAATCTAAGCAGCAACAAAACCAAATACCATCCACTCTGCCAAAAATTTCACATTGGTCTTTTAATCCCTACTAGTTTGTATTCGATAAAGGCTTGTTGAGTGATTATTGCCTGTAAAACCATACCTAAGATATTGGAAAGATAGATATATAAGAAATGACCCCCTGTCTAGTGATCTAAAATGGAAAATGGAAATTAATGGGCCAGCTTGGTGGCTTGTGCCTGTAGTCCCAGCTACTCAGGAGGCTGAGGCAGGAGGATCACTTGAGCTCAGGAATTCAAGGCCAGCCTGGATGACATAGCAAGATACCATTTCTCTAACAAAAAGAAGATAAATAAATAAATGAGCCAAACTGAGGGACAGTCATAGAGGCAACCTGTGACTTCTTCAGATACTCACAAATGAACATACAGCCACACATTCACATTTTCCAGGCATCATTTGTCATCATCTACTTGCCTGTAGGCTCTGAGCACACCATTCCCACCAATAAAGCTGAACAGATATAACACCAATAACCAGATTTTGACCTTTGATCCCCGTTTTCCCACCAGGATATACAAGCTGATCCTTTTCAGGACTATTGCAGTCAGGCCACGGAAGCCACTACAAAAATAAAGAGAACGTTCTTTATCCCCACTGGCCTTTCTTGTTTCTATGCCACAGAGTCAATTCTTTACTACTTGAGAGTTTCTGGAAAAGGGAAAACCACAGGAATAGTTCATAAAACCTAGTGCCGTAGAGTACGAAGCGTTCAGGAGGGACCCTAATGAGCTTCCTTGTTTTGGAGGGAGATTTATCCCTCATTTTCCCCACTCTGTGAGCTAGAGCAGATGTAGAATGTATTGGAAGCTTAGTGAATGAGTCAGCTGATTAAACATTTTACAGAAATATGTGACATATGTTTTTTGGAACCTGTCAGCTCACTTTCTAGGAATCCACCAGGTCACTCTGCATTAACAGTGAGGTAAATAAATTTTTGACCCTCATCATCAAAGCTTTAATATGGGCAGAGGGTGGGACAGGAAGAAAAGAGAGAGTTTAAGTTGTCCATAAGACTGACTACTTCAGTATGGCGTTCCCCATTTTAAATGTTCACAAGACGTAGACTACTGAGATACTCAAACTAAATCAATCTTTTTGTTCTTGTTGCAGTGCGCTTCCCGGGAATTAAAACTTATATTGATCCAGATACATATGAAGACCCATCCCTAGCAGTCCATGAATTTGCAAAGGAGATTGATCCCTCAAGAATTCGCATTGAGAGAGTCATTGGGGCAGGTACTGTCAAATCTACACTTCTGAACAAAAGATTCCTTAATTGTTCTGTAACTGATTTATCAACATATTATCTTAAATCTTAGGTTTTAGTCATTGAAAAGTTTTAACAAGAGAGAAGTAAAGTTATCTTGTATTTATTTGTTTTGTTTTAAGTATACTAAGTGTTCATCTTGTTGCCAATGAGAAAATTCACAAAAGTTACTTTTAATGTTCTGTAGTCTTTTTTAATAGTGAAGATAAATTACAATGAAACTAGAGTTTTCAGGAGTTTGTCATAAGGTTATGGACTTACTCAAGCCCCAACATCTATAGACATATACTGCAATCAAAATAGTATTTATAATGATGACCGTGAGCCTCTGCAAGACACAGAAATGTCCTGAGAAATCACCACAGATAAAATTTGGTTCAATGCAGTTTTATGTCATTTTAATGGAAATTAATAATTCTCCCTGTGTAGAATTTTCCGATACTTAGGACACTTTATTAGTCAACTATTCTGGATAAATACAGATTTCTTGCAAATCACCCCACAGGAATTTATGCTACACATTAGTTAGGGCAGAGGCTAAGCCAACGTAACAAAGAGACTCCAGAATACAGATTTAGTCCTCTTTCGGATGCTTGACCCAAGGTGAATAGTCTCATTCAGGGGGTCTTGCAAGGCCCAAGTTCCTTCTATTCTCGGCTCTGCCTTCCCCTAGCATGTCACCCTCCTCTAAATGACCAAAGCTAGGTCGCCAGTACGTCTGCCTTCCTGCCTGTGAGAGGAAAAGGAAATAGTTCAATCTCTCTGGTTTTGTATTGAAGGCAATAACCTGAAACTTCCAAACAGAGGATTCTCAGCTCAGTTGTCCAGATAACAATAACATGGACACATTTAAGTGCTAGAGAGTTTGGAAATGGAATTGCTGATGGCTGCCATATGCAGCTAAAAGCGCACATGCATGTGGAGAGGCTGTTTTCCTAAAATAGAGAAGGGAGATTGGATGTCGATGGGGAATATAGGTCTCCTCTGGATGCTGGAAAACTGTTTAATCCTTTGAAAAGAACAGAACAGATGCAAGCCTGGCCCTTCCAGCCAGGTGTCATGTCTCTACAAAGGCCGAAAGAAAGCAGCTGATGATCCTCTGTCTCTTTCAAATCCCCTCTTCGCCCAGAAGGACAAACTACATAATTTGCAGGGCCCAGAACACGTTGAAAAATACAGAATCTCTCGTTAAAAATTGGTTAGAGAGTTCAAGAAAGTGACAACAGAGAACTAAATCAACCACAGGGCACATCTAAACTCAAGACTCGATGTGACTGTGCAGTCACATGCTCCCGAAGCTAGTCCTGTTTCCCAGGTACACAGAGAAGTAGAACCCTCAAGAATTGCAGGCACATTTGCAGAGTTCTTCCTGGTTTCAGTCCATTCCCTGTGCACAGTGGACCACCTTGTCTCCTGCATGGCTGGGTCTCCTTCTGAAAGCTGCCACAGGGGCCTTGATGTTCATAATCTTTATGTTCTCAGCCAAAGAAGCTGCCTTGTCAGAAAGACTGAGAACCTGAAATGGAACCAGATTCTCTATCTTCTGCTGAACAAACAGCTCATCAGCAGGCATAATTGAGCGGAGTGACTGAATTACATTCATCTGGCTTTGGAGTTTGTTTCCTTAAGACAGCAGAGGGATCGAGAAGAGAGGAGGTTGAGTAACCTCCATTGCACACGACGTTTGGCTTTCTTCTTCTTGCCCCTGAGGAAAACTGATAGGTCTTTTTATATGGCCTGTTCAATACTCGTGTAGTTACACTAGAAGCATTTTGTGTTTCAGCCCTTTGTGCTACAACATAACTAAATGGCCAGTGTCTGAATCATCATATTGAGAGGTAAAATCAAGTACCTGAAGTATACACAATAATAAGAAATTAAACGTTTCTTCCATTTTTGGATTTTTTTCAACTAAAATATAAATGTTTCTCCTAAACAAGTATAATGGATACTGCAAAAGTCAAAAATAACTACTAAAGAGATTGTTTTAGTATCAGTTTTCTACCTGCTGTGCCCAAACTCTAAGAAGTCATCAGGAGGTTTATCTCATTTGGCAAAGACAGACTATCTAAACCATGTAGTTACTTCTGTAGATTGATGTCTCTTTTTAAATCTTTATTCATCTTTGATGGTTTCGGCTTTCAAACAATATGCTAAGGGTCCTTTTACTACCTATATTCAGAAAAATCACGAAAATAGAACTGGTTTGTGAAACGAAAGTATTGTAACCTAACTTGCCTCTGTGCCCCTGGCCAATACTGCTCTGGTAATTTATTCCTTTAGATCACTGTTTTAGCCCTTTTTATGCTGCTATAATAGAATTTCTCACACTGGGTAATTTTTGGCTGAAGGTTCTGGCGGCTAAAGTCAGGTTCCAGGGGGCACATCTGGTGAGGGTCTTCCTGCTGCATCGTAACATGGTGGAAAGCATCACATGAGTGAGGGGGAGGAAAAGGGGACGGAACTCCCCCTTTTATAATGAGCCTGCTGCATTAAAACAGTCATGAAGGCTGAGCCCTCGTGATCTAATTACCTCTTCAAGGTCCCACCTCGAAACACTGTTGTATTAAAGATTAAGTTTCCTATATGTGCCCTTCAGGAGACACAGTCAAATCATAGCAGTCGTGTCTCTAAAACTTTATTTCTGTGATGCGTGAAGTGTGAACATTTCCCGTAGCAGCAGTGTGGACAAAACGCTGTTCAAATTGAAGAAGAGCCAGTCGTATGTCACATCTGTGCACCACTGGTTACATTCCCAATTTGTAACTGTAAATACTTTCTTAGATTGTCTTGCAGCCTTTTTTTTTAAATTTAATTTTATTTTATTGCATTTTAGTTTGGGGGTACATGTGAAGAACATGCAAGATTGTTGCATAGGTACACACATGGCAGCGTGATATGCTACCTTCCTCCCCATCACCTATATCTGGCATTTCTCCCCATGCTATCTCTCCCCGACTCCCCACCCCTGCTGTCCCTCCCCTATTTTCCCCCAACAGACCCCAGTGTGTGATGCTCCCTTCCCTGTGTCCATGTGTTCTCGTTGTTCAAAACCCGCCTATGAGTGAGAACATGTGGTGTTTGATTTTCTGTTCTTGCGTCAGTTTGCTGAGAATGAGGGTTTCCAGGCTCATCCATGTCCCTAAAAAGGACATGAACTCATCATTTTTTATGGCTGCATAGTTTTTATTTTCTTTCCCCAGCTGTTAATTGTTCCTTCTCAGACTCTATTCCTCCATCATCATTGTCCATTAGGTAGTCCTCTTGGACATGTAAATTAAATGGCTTAAGTAGTAGTCTCGATGCTGGACAGAGGTGAAGTGGGGTGGAGATGTGAGAGGCCAGCAGCTCCTGACAACTGTCAAGTGCAGGATAGTCAGGCAGAATTAATGCCTTGACAGTAGGAAGAGCAAAAAGTGCTTACATTCACAGCTCATTGCTGAGGAAAAATATACCAAACCTCCATCTCTTATAGATGCAAGACACGCATGAAAAGCAGCAGTTAAGATTACTTTTCAGATTTCTAGTTGGAAAAGCACAATATAAAATCATTAAATATTTCTTAAATGAGTTATCAAAAATAAATGCAAAACAGCCACATTAACATTTTCACAAAAAAGCATCAAATCACACCTAACCCACCACATTTCTTAACACGTTCACTGAACAATGTTTGCTAATATTTACTTAAAAAAGATAAAGTGCCACTTAATCTTTTCATATTAAATCACTATACTTATTAGAGATATATATATTCACACTGTCTTCCTAAATCTTTGTCCTGATATTTTAAACTAGTAACCATCAAAATACTGTACAACTAAATCATAAAAATTTAATTTTTCTGTACATAGATCCTTAACATTCCCCATCTTTCCCTATACATTTCACTGTTTTTTATGAATTTTCTAGGGTACTTTTTTGTGTGTATATATCAATATTCTATTTAACAGTGGCAGCTTATCTTTGTTCATCAGTATAGGCCTCGATTTCCATGAAAATGCACATTTCCATTTAAATAAAGTGAGCGGCTCTGTTGCATAGGAGACTATCAAGATCATCTCTCTCCTTTGACTTTCTTGCATTATAAAATGAAATTCTGCGGGCAGAGGACTGTAAAACAGAAATTCTCAGGCTAAAAGAGCCAAGTCAGATTAGGGGAGAATCATTATTTTATACATATCTTGTAGGATAATGAGAAAACTTGTAAACAATTTTAATCATGGCCTAGAAAAGGTCATTGAAAGGCTGTCCCTCTTTGAGGGCACTACCGAACCTAAACCGGTAGAAGACAAGCTTGCCCGGCAGAGTATAATTTGGAAACATTATTCCATTGAAAAAAAAATCATTCTTGCGTCTCTAAGCCCATAGGGCACCTCTTAAATGTGACCTTCCCTCTTGCCCTGGTCTCAACGGAAATACATATTATCTTCCTGTCATTCATATTCTATCCCTTTATCTCCACAAAACTCATTACTGCCTCCACTATCAGCCTCTTCTGGCTTAGTGTCACCAAACTTTCTCTCTTCCTGGAATTCTCCAGGAGGTTTTAACTGTTGGTTTCTCCGCAGTTATATACAGGTAAAAGAAAGTCAAAAGAACAACAAAAAGGATATAAAAAGTGAGTGTCCGCCTCCCTTTTCTTCAGCCTAGTATTTCGGTTCTGTTTTTCCATCTTGTTTGAGTCACATTTCCCCTTGATGCTCTACAAGGTATGCTGTTCACTCCGTGTGCCTCTCCTGACTCCCCTGCCACCCTCATACCAGCAGGCCTCTTTTTTTCTGCTCTAGAAAAAAAAATATATATATATATATATACACACACATATACATATATTGGATTGTTTGTTTAGACAAGTCTCACTCTGTTGCCCAGTTTGGAGTACAGTGGTGAGATCTTGGCTCACTGCAACCCCTGCCTCCAGGGTTCAAGCAATTCTCTACCTCAGCCTGCCGAGTAGCTGGGATTA